AGGCCCCCAAGACGCCCCCACGGCCCCCAAGAGGCCCGTAGGCGTCTTGGATCCGCCGCCCCCTGTGCTTGCCACAGGGTTGGACGGCGTGCCAGACATTTTGCTGAGATTCTGATTTTCAAACCCTTCCCAGTGGCCTTCGGCCCAGACCGCCTGCCCCTCGGAAGGACCAGAAGGTGTGGCCCACATCGCCACCAAGACGGCCCAAACGGCCCAATATGGTCACCAAGATGCCTCCAAGGCGGCTAGGATCGCTCCAAGAGAGCCCAAGACGGCTCCAATATGTCTCCAAGACGGCCCAAGATGCACCCGAGGCGTCCAAGATGGCCCCAAGATGGCCCAGGACGGCCCCAAAGGCCCCCAGGAGGCTTTTAATGCAGTCCAAGAAGCCTCCAAAGGGATCTGCAGGAAGGCCCGAAGAGGCCAAGACAGCTGATTTCCCGTGGGCTCTTGATGGATTTTGACGTTTTCGGCCTGCCGACGGCCCAATGCCGCCGAAGAGACCCCCAAGATGGCCCCAAGAGCGCCCAAGAGGCCTCCAAGACGGCCCCATGACGGCCTCCAGACGGTCCAAGAGGCCCCCAAGGCGCCTCCAAGACGGCCCACGAGAATTCCAAGGCGCCCACGATGGCCTTCAAGACGGCTCCAAAACGTCCAAGATGGCAACGATACGATTCGACATAGCCCCAGGATGTCCCAAGACAGCCACAGAGGGCCCCAAGGGCCCCAAGGGGATCCAAGGGGCCTCCTAGACAGTCTAGGAAGTCTTCAAGAGGACCTCCAGGAGAGCCCGAAATGCCCAAATGGTTGTATTTATTCCCTTCAATTGTTGAATAATTTGGGCGCGTTTTCTTTTTCGGCTGTCCGACGGCCCAAGATGTCCACAAGATGGTCCCAAGACGGCCCAAGCTGACTTCAAGATGGCCCCAAAAGGGCCCCAAAGGGCGAGGAAACAGTCCAAGAGGAAGAGCAAGAGGAAAGGACGGAATCAGAGGCCCGAAGCGGCTCCGAGAAGCCTGCAGCTCAGCGCGGGCTCGTCTGCGGACGCCCTTGCCCCCCCCAGGAAAAACATATCACCCCGAGGCCCGGTGATGTTTTGTGGGGCCGCCATCTCAAAGCCCCACGGCCGGCTTTTGGGTCGAGGAGGAGGAGGGGCAGGAGGACGAGGAGGTGATCAACAGGAACCAGAGGAGCAGGAGCAGCAGGAGGACGAGGAGTTTGAGCAAGGGGTCAAGGACGGAATGATAGGCCAGAAACGGCTCCGAGACCAGACCGCGCTGAGCTGCAGGGTTTTCGGAGCCGCTTAAGGCCTCTCATTTCGTCCTTGTCCCCCTGCTCAACCTCCTTGTCCTCCTGCTCCTGATTCTCCTGGTTTTGCTCCTCTTCTTCCTCGACCCAAGAGCCGGCCGTGGGGCCTTGAAAGGGCGGGCCGAAAAAATGTCACCGGGGGCCGAGCTGCAGGCTTCTCGGAGCCGATGCGGCGAAGCCCTGCAGGCTGTCTCGGAGCCGCTGCGCCAAAAGAAGGACACCTTGTCGGTTTAACTAATAGGTCGCTTTGTCGGCTGATTTCGGGCGCGTCGTCATCGTGGTCGTCGTTGTCATCGTCGTCGTCGTGGTCGTCGTCGTCACCACCATCGTCGTGGTCGTCGTCGTCGTCGTCGTCGTCGTCGTCGTCGTCGTCGTCGTCATCGTCGTCGTCGTTGTCGTTGTCGTCGCCGTCCATAAGATGGCCCCGAGAGGGCCCTAAGAGGGCCCCAAGAGAGCCCCAAGAGGGCTCCGAGAGGGCCCCGAAAGGGCCCCAGGAGTTGTGCAACAACCCAGCGGCCGCTGGTACATAACTCCTGGGGCCCTCTTGGGGCCCTCTGAGGGCCCTCTTGGAGCCCTCCTGGGCCCCTGGTTGGCCCATGAGAGGGCTCCAAGAGGGCCCTAAGAGGGCCCCAAGAGGGCCGCAAAAGGGCTCCAAGAGGGCCCCAAGAGGGCGCCAAGAGAGCTCCAAGAAGGCCCCAGGAATTATGTACCAATACAGCGGCCGCTGGTACATAACTCCTGAACCCTCTTGGGACCCTCTGAGGGCCCTCTCGGAGCCCTCTCGGACCCCTGGTTGGCCCTGTAGGGCCCCAAGAGGGCCCCAAGAGGGCCCCAAGAGAGCCCCAAAAGGGCCCCAAGAGGGCGCCAAGAGGGCGCCAAGAGAGCTCCAAGAAGGCCCCAGGAATTATGTACCAACCCAGCGGCCGGTGGTACAGAACTCCTGGGGCCCTCCTCCTCCTCCTCCTCGGCGACGACGACGACGAGGAGGTGTAAACGCACCCTTACCCAGCCCCTGCAGGACCAGGCAGCGATACTTGGACCAAATTTCCTGGCCCCTGTTTCGACCCCAGAGCTCTCGACCCCGTCCAGGAGCTCCCGACCCCAACCCGGAGCTTTCGGCCCCATCCTGGAGCTCTCGACCCGCAGACGACGGCGACGACGACGACGACGACGCCTCGACCTGGAGTGGTAAGTTTTGCTGCTGCTTTTCCCCAGGGGTTTGGAGCCCTCGGGGCCCAGGGGGGCCCCGAAACGGATCCGAAGCCTCAAATTTTTCCGGCCCGCGACCGACGACCGGCGACAACGACGACGACGACGACGACGACGACGGGCATAAGTTATTTGGCGCCCCCCCTTGGGAGCATCGGGTAACTGGGGGGTGCGCTCCACACCCCCCACTTACCCGGTGTCCCCCAGGGGACATCGGGTAACTCGACCTTGCAGGGGGGGGTGTTAGGCACGGGTTACCCGGTGGCGAGGGGGGGGCATCGGGTAACTCGACTTTGCACGGGGGGGAGTCGGGCATGAGTTACCCGGTGTCCCCTGGGGGACATCGGGTAAGCGGGGGGTGCGCTCCACACCCCCCACTTACCCGGTGTCCCCCGAGGGGCGTCGAGTAAGTCGACCTTGCAAGGGGCGCATTCGGCATTATTCAGTAAACCGGTGGACCCCCATGGGACATCGGAGTTACCCGGTGGTCCCCGTGGGACATCGGCCCGTGGGACATCGGAGTTACCCGGTGTCCCCCGGGGGACATCGGGTAACTCGACATTGCAAGGGGGGTCTGGGCATGGTTACCCGGTGGCCTCCCGTGGGACATCGGAGTTACCCGGTGTCCCCCGTGGGACATCGGAGTTACCCGGTGGTCCCCGTGGGACATCGGCCCGTGGGACATCGGAGTTACCCGGTGTCCCCCGTGGGACATCGGAGTTACCCGGTGGTCCCCGTGGGACATCGGCCCGTGGGACATCGGAGTTACCCGGTGTCCCCCGTGGGACATCGGAGTTACCCGGTGGTCCCCGTGGGACATCGGCCCGTGGGACGTCGGAGTTACCCGGTGTCCCCCGGGGGACATCGGGTAACTCGACCTTGCAAGGGGGGGTCTGGGCACGAGTTACCTGGTGCCCCCCCGTGGGACATCGGAGTTACCCGGTGTCCCCGTGGGACATCGGAGTTACCCGGTGGTCCCCGTGGGACATCGGCCCGTGGGACATCGGAGTTACCCGGTGTCCCCCGTGGGACGTCGGAGTTACCCGGTGGTCCCCGTGGGACATCGGCCCGTGGGACATCGGAGTTACCCGGTATCCCCCGTGGGACATCGGAGTTACCCGGTGGTCCCCGTGGGACATCGGCCCATAAGATGGCTCCAAGGGGTCCCTAAGACTGGGCTGGTACATAACTCCTAGGGCCCTGTTGGGGCCCTCTGAGTGCCCTCTTGGAGCCCTCTTGGGCCCCTGGTTGGCCCTAGGAGGGCCCCAAGAAGGCCCCAGGAATTATGTACCAATCCAGCGGCCGCTGGTACATAATTCCTGGGGCCCTCTTGGGGCCCTCTGAGGGCCCTCTTGGAACCCTCTTGGGCCCCTGGTTGGCCCTAAGAGGGCCCCAAGAAGGCCCCAGGAATTATGTACCAACCCAGCGGCCGCTGGTACATCACTCTTGGGGCCCTCTGAGGGCCCTCTTGGAGCCCTCTTGGGGCCCGGGTTGGCCCTAAGAGGGCCCCAAGAGGGCCCCAAGAGGGCTCCAAGAGGGCCCCAGGAATTATGTACCAACCCAGCGGCCGCTGGTACATAACTCCTGAACCCTCTTGGGGCCCTCTTGGAGCCCTCTTGGGCCCCTTGTTGGCCCACATGATGGCTCCAAGAAGGCCCTAAGAGGGCCCCCAAACGGGCCCAAGAGGGGCCCAAGAGAGGCCTCAGAAACCGCTAGTAGGTGTCATCGATCAGCGCGTCTGGATGAGACCTCTCAGTGGTCTCTGGGGCGCGTCTTGGAGCCCTCTTGGGGCCCTCTGGAGCCCCCTGGGTGCTCCCAAAAAGGGCCCAAGGGACATCCGAAGGGGTGGAGGAGGAGTTGGACGGGGAGTGGAGGGGGAGGTGGAGGGGGGGCTGAGGTGGGTGGTGGAGTGGGGGGTGGAGGGGGGTGGGGGGGTTGGTGGAGGGGGAAGGGAGAGGGAAAGGGAGAGGGGTTTGATTAGGAAACTGGAAGAGGTTTGACGACCACGACGACGACGACGACGACGACGATGACGACGACGACGACGATGACGGCGACAACCACGATGACGAGTGGGCGCCTTGGAGTTCTCGTGGGCCGTCTTGGAGGCGCCTTGGGGGCCTTTTGGACCGTCTGGAGGCCGTCGTGGGGCCGTCTTGGAGGCCTCTTGGGCGCTCTTGGGGCCATCTTGGGGGTCTCTTCGGCGGCACTGGGCCGTCGGCAGGCCGAAAACGTTAAAATCCATCAAGAGCCCACGGGAAATCAGCTGTCTTGGCCTCTTCGGGCCTTCCTGCAGGTCCCCTTGGAGGCTTCTTGGACTGCATTAAAAGCCTCTTGGGGGCCTTTGGAGCCGTCCTGGGCCATCTTGGGGCCATCTTGGAACGCCTCGGTTGCATCTTGGGCCGTCTTGGAAACATAATGGGGCCGTGTTTTTTTTTTTTTTTTTTTTTTTTTTTTTTTTTTTTTTTTTTTTTTTTTTTTTTTTTTCCCCCAGTAGCACGCTTATCACGAAGATCCCTTGGATGCCTGTGGCTGTTGCGTATGCCTGTCCTGTGTGCATGTGGGGGTGACACTACTTGTGCTTAAGCAGTATGTTCCCGAAATGGCGGTGGCTGCAAGGGCGGTGAGGGCGCGAAACTGCCTACAAAAGCAACCTCACTGGTGGACGTGCTTCGGAGCCGTGCTCGCAGCCTATGCTGGGACTTTCGCCCTCTCGCGGATGGTGGCGAACGTGTCGTCCACCAACAGGTTGCCATCACGGAAGACCTCCACGAGCTTGTCCAGGGATGGGTTGCCCTTGCCCTCAGTCACAGTCGTCCACTGCCCACCATTCAGCTCCAAGGTCAGCTTGCCTTTTTTGGACTTCTTCCCAGGGTCGGTGATGGGATCCTTGACCACGTCGACGTCCTGACCCTTGATCAGCGCGTAGGAGCACTTGAACGCGCACTTCTGCGTGTCCCTGTGCATCTTCTGGAGCAGTGCCCCACCACTGCCGAACGCCAGGTTGTCTGCGGCCCACTTGTTGTCTTTCATGGCCTGCAAGACGACTTCCAGAGACTTGATGTCTACGCCGTCTCCCTGGATTACGCGGATACAGTCTGGCAACACCCTGTGACCTGTGGACGTCGTTGTGGATCCAAACTTGCTCTCCAACTTCTCCAAGACCTGCAGCACAATTCCCGGCAACTCCCCGCTGTCCGGGCGAACGACGAGCACGCCGTCGCGCTTCTCTATGGTGGCCTTCAGCTCGGTGCCCCAGTAGTCTGTGCATGCCTTGAAGATGTCGTAGCTGTCGCTCACGCACGCCACGAGGCCCGTGGGGTACATCTCAAGCATATTCCTCATCGCGCTCACCTCGCCCTCCCTGCCCCAGCTGGTCATGGTGCTGTGCTCGGAGGCGGGGATCGAGAATCCGCCGCACGGCTCCCCGTAGAACTTCTTCAGCATCACCAGCGCGGCCATCGTGTCGGTGCCGAGGAAATTCACGAGATGCGCGCCGCCGCCAGTCGCGGCCGACTCCACCGAGGACACCCCGCGGAAGCCGAAGTCGTGCATTTTGAACATGTGCCCGCCGCCCCCGATCACGGCCGCGGAGCCGGTTTCCTTGAGGTACCGCATGATGATCTTCTTCATTTCGCGGCTCTGGGTGCACACCGTCGTGGCGTACCAAACCTGCACCAGCAGCGTCTCGAGGTAGTTCGTGAGCCAGAAGCACTTCGTGTCGGTGTTCTCCAGGGTGAACAGGACGTTCTTGTACGGGAGGACTGTCCCCTCGGGCACCGCCTTGATGACAACTGGCAGGTGCCCACCGTGCTGCTTCAGGATGTACTCCCACGCCTCGCGATTGAACAGCTTGCTGTCGTAGCCCCAGACCGGGTGCGAGAAGTGCATCTTGAAGTATTCCTCGGCGTCATTGATGGCCTCGGGCGTGACCACCGGTCCGACCATGTACTTCTTGAGGTAGTACTGGAGTCCGAAAAAGCACACCTCGGGGAACTGACCGCCGCGGCACTCGAAGTAGGAGTAGATCTTCTCAGTGCCAGGAGGGTACTGCAAATGATGGGTGACCTTATAAGAGTCCGTGAGCAGGACTATATTGTTGAACACGTCCCCGACTACACCAAATGACTTCGAGACTTGGTTCGGGGGCGACTGTATGCCATTAGAGCGCTTTCGGATCGTTTCCAATGTATCATCTACCAGCAGCCGCCCATCTTTGAACACCTCCACCAGCTGATCAACCTTGGGGTCACCCTTGCCTTCGGTTACCGTCGTCCACACGCCGTCGCGCAACTCGAGGGTCAACCTTCCTTTCTTCGACTTCTTGCCCGGATCCGTGATGGGATCCTTCACCACGTCAACATCCTTGCCTTTGATCAGGGCGTACGAGCACTTGAACGCACACTTTTGGGTGTCCCTGTGCATCTTCTGGAGAAGGGCGCCACCACTGCCGAACGCCAAGTTGTCGGCAGCCCATCTGTCCTTGTGCATCGCCTCCAGGACCATCTCCAGAGACTTGATATCCACCCCGTCGCCTTGGATCACGCGTATGCATGGAGGCAAGAGCTTGTGCCCCGTCTCGGTCTGCGTGCTCCCGAACTTACTCTCGAGCTTCTCGAGCACCTGCAGGACGATGCCTGGCAGCTCGCCGCTGTCGGGGCGCACGACGAGGACGCCGTCGCGCTTCTCGATCGTTGCCTTCAGCTCGGTCCCCCAGTAGTCGGTGCAAGCCTTGAAGATGTCGTAGCTGTCGCTCACGCACGCAACAAGCCCTTTCGGGTACTGGGTCAGCATGTTTCTCATGGCCTCAACTTCGCCCTCCCTGCCCCAAGACGTCATCGTGCTGTGTTCGGAGGCGGGTATTGAGAACCCGGCGCAAGGTTCCCCGTAGAACTCCTTCAGCATAATCAGGGCGGCCATGGTGTCTGTGCCCATGAAATTGACCAAATGAGCACCGCCTCCGGTAGCGGCGGACTCGACGGAAGAGACGCCTCGGAAACCAAAATCATGCATTTTGAAAAGGTGCAAACCGTTATCAATCACCTGTGGGGTTCCGGTCTGCTTGAGATATTTGACGATGATGTTCTTCATCTCGCGGCTCTGGGTGCAGACTGTTGTAGGGTACCAGGTTTGAACAAGCAGGGTTTCCAAGTAATTGGTAAGCCAGAAGCACTTTGGATCAGTGTTTTCCATAGTGAAAAGCACGTTTTTGTACGGCAGCACCGTGCCCTCTGGCACAGCTTTGATGCTGATTGGCAAGTAGCCAGCATGATGGGTCGCGATGTACTCCCATGCCTGACGATTGAACAGCTTGTCATTGTAGCCCCACTTCGGATGAGAGAAGTGGATCTTGAAGTATTCCTCCGCGGCATCGATCTTGTCCATCGTCACCACTGGTCCTGTCATGTATTTCTTGATGTAGTACTGCAGACCGAAGAAGCACACTTCAGGAAACTGGCCGCCTCGGCACTCGAAGTACGAGTAGACCTTCTCGGTGCCAGGCGGGTACTGCAAGTGGTGGGTCACCTTGTAGGAGTCTGTTAGGATCACGATGTTGTTGAAGGTGTCCTCGGACTGCGAATTAAAGAGCCACATGAAGAGCTCCACGTATGGCACCTTCTGTGAACCCCGGGCCAAGTTGGAAGAGTCCAACAGGGCGTCCACGTCCTCCACGGGCCACGCGCCCTTGTCGAGGTGGTGCAGCAGAGATGTGAACTCCTCCCTGGAGATGAGGCCATCTCCTGTCTTATCGAAAGCCTTGAACTCCTCCAGGATGTTCTGAAGGTCCGCCATCTCGCGTCCGGCTGCTGGGCGGGGATCCCCCAGAGTGCCCGCCTCTTCGGACAGGCTGGCGGCTGGCGGCTGGCGCGAGCCCGACGCGGCTCTTGAGCCAAAATGGCAACGGAAAACATAATGGGGCCGTCTTGGGCTCTCTTGGAGCGATCCTAGCCGCCTTGGAGGCATCTTGGTGGCCATCTTGGGCCATTTGGGCCGTCTTAGTGGCGATGTGGCCACACCTTCTGGTCCTTCCGAGGGCAGGCGGTCTGGGCCGAAGGCCACTGGGAAGGGTTTGAAAATAAGAAGAGCAGCAAAATGTCTGGCACGCCGTCCACCCCTGTGGCAAGCACAGGGGGCGGCGGATCCAAGACGCCTACGGCGAATCACCGCCGCCCCCAGCCTTTTTGAGAAGCGCCTATGTGGCCAAACGTTGGGCCCCAGCTTGGCCAAGCTATCTGATTATGTATTCCCCCAGCCGCTCCGGAAACTCTTCGGGGAACACTTGGGGGAGGCTGAGGGGGAGGATCAGGAGAGGGAGGAGGACGAGGAGGAGGAGGAGGAGGAGGAGGAGGAGGAGGCCTCTTGGGAGCCTCTTTGGGCACTCTTGTGGGGCCTCCTGGAGGCTTCCCGGGGGCCTCTTGGAAGCCTCTTGGGGGCCTCCTTAGGCCTCTTGGGGGCCGTGGGGGCGTCTTGGGGGCCTCTCCTTGGCCGTCTTGAAGCGTTCCTGGCCCGTCTGACGGGTCTGACGCCGTCGGAAGCCATCTTGGGGGCCTCTTTGAACCGATGTGGGGTCCTCTTGAGGCGCTTCAGGGCCGTCTTGGAGGCCATCTTGGGCGTCTTAGAGGCCTCTTGGGGAGGAGGAGGGGGAGGAGGAGGAGGAGGAGGAGGAGGAGGAGGAGGAGGAGGAGGAGGAAGAGGAGGAGGAAGGAGGGGGAGGGGGAGGAGGAGGAGGAGAGGAGGAGCAGGAGGAGGAGGAGGAGGAGGAGAGGAGGAGGAGGAGGAGGAGGAGGAACAGGAGGAAGAGGAAGAAAAGGACTGGGAAAAGCAGGCGAAGAGGGAGTAGGAAGAGAAATAGGGAGGAGGACCAGGAGAAGGAGGCAGGGGGTAGGAGCGAGGAGACACAGTCGGACAGCGAGAGACAAAGTCGGAGCAACCCCAAACCCCCAGAGTCTGGGGGCGCCCAAGAGTCTGAGCAGCACCTTTTTCAGATGATACCGTGTGGCAAATTAGTGCCGCGATGTCGTCGGCGATGGCCTCTGACACCCCGTGGATCGTTCCACCTGCAACGATCACGGCTCTCCGATAGGGCAGATCGATTGCTATCGACCGATTCAGGGCCACTGGCGGCGTTCAACCTTGAAAACCCGCACTGAGATCGCCGCCACAACAACACTGCGCGAACCTACCGTAATCCCAGCAGCCTTTCAGGGCGTGAGTGGTTTAGGGAGTCTCCTCTTCCACCCACCCCTTCTTCCCCTTCGTGGGGTTTGCCCCTCTCCCTACCCTCTCCCCCTGGATCTGGAGGGGGGGGCGAGGTGTCGGAGGGACTTTTTTGAGGGCCTCGTCGTGAACTTCGAGGGCATCTCACGCGAGAAACCCTCTTTGGAAAAAGGCCCGCCCTCGATCCGTGCAATGCTGCATGGGTCGAATATATTGGTCTTTCACGTCAGCGAAGCCTCAAGCGAAGCACCCACCATGTAAACGAACCGCACCCAATCCTTCTGCTTGCTGCGCGCATGTTGCAAACAGCAGCAAGCGAAAACACGAATGCCCGCGGCGCTAGGGGTGAGAACGCTACCTGGATAGCGATCAGTTGCAACATGTTGGGACGATCGCGCCTCAACAACCCCCCCCCCGGGCGCGTCACCGACAGGGGGCCCGCCCCGGCGGACGGCCAAGGCACCCCCGCCCGCAGTGCCCTCCTGGGGCGCAGTCAGGAGCGCGAGCTGCCTGCTGCGATCCTGGCCATCGCTCGGACGTCCATGCCCTGTGTTTTTGTTAGGTTTCGTGCGTGGTTCTTTCGCCAAGTGAACAAGGAAGAGGTCCTCGATGGTCCTCGCCGAAGGAAAAGATGCACACGTCCGAGCGATGCCAAGGATCATGCGATCCAGCGAGGTGTCCAGGAGATCTCTGGTCGAGAAGCTCCCCCCACCACGCGTCCCAGCAAACTCCCCCTCCCCTGGGCGCGCCGGCCGGGGTGGGGGCCGCCCTGGCCGGCCGAGCCCCCGCCCGCACACCATTGCGGCGCGCAGTCAAGAGCGCGAGCTCCCTGCTGTGATCACGCAGCGCCCACGAGATGTCCACAAGGCCCTGGTCGAGGGGGTCCCCCGCATAATGCGATATGATACATTAAAAAACGTGTGGGGGGGGAGCGGTTCCCAAAATCCGCACACCCTGTCGGCGTGTGTGAAGGGCTAGTCCATTCGAGTCCCGTTTCCGACGTTCGTGATTCGTCGTCTCTGTCGTCCCCTTCCCTGCAGGCCCCGTTTCCCTGGGCTCGTCGCCGCTCCCCACCCTGGCTCCTGGGCCATCCTCCCGAAGCGCGCCATCCAAAGCGAAATTGAGCAACGTCGTACTTCAGTCGAAGGAAGGCCACTTCCGTTTGCTCCTTTCCCCGTCGGGGGAACGATCAACACAATGGTGTTCGAAAACGGTTTCAAATTGGCTTCTTCGGGTCCGTCTGAGGCGTCGACTGTCCGGGCGCGTGCCCGAGGCAAGCGGCAACTTACTTGTTTTTGAGAGCGCTAGGTGTCCTCTCCCATGTTCAACTGTTCTTGTTGCCGTCGACCGAAGCAAAAACAAAAGGCAACACGCAACAAAACAGGAACGACACTCGCCGGGCCCAACAGGAGCGGATAAGGGCAACCCAAAACAGAAAACAACGGCAACCTAACATGGAAAACAATTAGCAAGAACAGACACCGAAACAACATAACTACACTTTCAAACGAGTGCGAATCACGGATCGCGCAACGAACCGAAAACGGCGAGACGACCATCCCCAAAAGAAACACGACCCCAAACAACAAACGTAAACGCCGATCTTAGAAACGGGAAAGACGCCCCCAGCGTTCGCAATAACATCTACGGGAGGGAAAGAACGATTTCAAACATCGATTCCTCGCCTGGGGCACGTTTTTCCAATCATCATCTTGGCCGCCGCCGCGTGACCACGATCCTTACCCATGTCTTACTCATCCTGCAGTACTTGGCGGCGCGCATAAGGGGGCATACGGGAGGGGGGAGGCTTCTTAGAAGGAAAATGCTTCTTAAGAGGTGCCGTGCGTTCCAAGCAGCACGTTGCGTTCTAAAAAGCAGGTTCCTTCTAAGGAGCCTCCCCCCTTACCCCTGCCCTCCAGTGTGCGTGGTCGCATTCCGTTGAGGTCGGGCCCTCCTACAGGCGGGCGGACTTATGAGGAAGAACCAAAAACGCAGTAAAACAAACTCAGAAGTAGTCCAAACATCATCGAAAAATCGTCCCCGGATAGTTGTTGCATACTTTCGAATATTCCTCCATTGAGGGGACATGTGTAAGCGGGATGAGCGAGCAAGACAGCCATTCAACATATACCCACCCCCTGTGGAATGGCGCCTGCACGGGGCACTCGGCCGCAGGACGCTCCACAGAGACGCGTGCGCCGCGAGGGTCACGCACAGCGGCGTGAGAAAAGACGACAATTGAGAGGACAGCTGCGGGTGTCCCCACCGGCCTGGCCTGAGACAGCTTCCGCAACATGCCCGACTTCACGACATTACGTCCCCGCAAGTCTTCCTCCATGGGCGCGCCGCCGTGGGCGCCGCGCGGCTCGACTACGCTCGTCGCCCGCCGTCGTCAGGCGTCCGCCGTCGGCTCCCGTCCCCCAGCCTTCGCCCTTCGTTCGTCGTCGTCGTCGTCGTCGTCGTCGGCGTCGTCGGCGTCGGCGTCGGCAGCGGCGTCGGCAGCGGCGTCGTTGTCGGCGTCTTCGTCGCTGTCGTCGTCGTCGTCGTCGGCGTCGTCGTCGGCGTCGGTGTCGGCGTCGTCGCCGGCGTCGGCGTCGGTGTCGGTGTCGGCGTTGTCGTCGGCGTCGGCGTCGGCGTCGTCGTCGCTGTCGGCGTCGTCGCTGTCGGCGTCGTTGGCCGCCCCCGCGGCCGGCCGAAGCCTGCTGCAAGAGGGCGCGCGGCGCGCCGCGTGTTGTCCGCAGGACGCCCCGCCTCCACGCGGGGCCGGGCGCGCCGAGAGGAGGAGGAGGAGGAGGAGGAGGAGGAGGAGGAGGAGGAGGAGGAGGAAGAAGAAGATGACGAGGTGAGATGAGGCAACGGCCAAACGCAAATTCAACGGGGCTACTCTTAACTCTTTAGCTCCGAGCCGGAGGCCTCAAGGTCAGAGACCTCTTCTGAGGAGGCAGTCGCGGGGCGTCCTTTTGCGTTCCTGGTCACCTTCGTTTTCATGTACAGCTCCCTCAGTTGAATTTCACCCCTGGCCGAAATGGCCGCTGGGGGAGAGGATGGCTACGTCCATTGGAGGACTCTGCCACCAGCCCGAGCCCGAAGGGGGAGGAGGATGGGATGTAATGAGGAGGAAGGGCGAAGAGGTATAAGGTTGCTGATGATGATGATGGTGATGATGACGATGATGATGATGATGATGATGATGATGATGATGCTGATGATGCTGATGCTGCCGCTCATGTTGATAATGATGATGATGTTGATGATGATGATGATGATGGTGGTGGTGGTGATGGCGATGGTGCTGCTGATATTGATGACAATGATGATGATGACGATGATGATGATGATGATGATGATGATGATGATGACGATGATGATGACGATGACGATGACGATGACGATGACGATGACGATGACGATGATGATGATGATGATGATGATGATGATGATAATGATGACGGTGATGATGATGATGATGATGATGATGATGGTGATGATGATGATGATGATGATGATGATGATGATGACGATGATGATTATGGTGATGACGGTGATGATGATGCTGATGATGCAGATGATGGTGGTGGTGCTAGTGATGATGAGGAGGGGATGAGGAGTACGAGGAGGAGGAAGGGGCAGGATGAAGAGGTAGGATTAGGATGAGGATGAGGAGGCAGGATGAGGAGGGCGAGGGGGGAGG